TTTGATCATAAATGAAGCCCAAAGAAAACCTTAATAAACATCAAAAAGTAAGAACTGAACCAGGCATAGTGACATACTCCTGTAATCCTAGTGACTTGGGAGGCTGAGGCAGGAGGAGCATAAGTTCAAAGCCAAGCCTCAGCAACTTAGTAAGGCCCCAAGCAACTTAGTGAGACTCCGACTCAAAATAAAAGATAAAAAGGTCTGGCTCATTAGTTAAGCACCCCTAAGTTCAAGTTGTGGTTCAAATAATAATAATAATAATAATAATAATAATAATAATAATAATAATAATAATATTGGGTATGGGGATATACCTCAGTAGTAGAGAGCTTACCTAGCATACCCAAGGCCTTGGGTAAAATCCTAGTCTTAGTCTTGCAAAACAAACAAAATCAGAAACCGGTTCTTGAAAAGATTGCTCAATATTATAAATTTCTGTGGCCAATAATGTCCATATTTGAGTTATCACCAAATCTATAAATTTTAATAAAGTCTTAATAGAAATTTATATGGGACTTGACAACTAGATTCTCTTATTCATAGGGAGATAACTTCCCCCACAAAAAAAGGTCAGATTCATTTGTATCTTGTGTTTTCTAGTAAATACTTTTAAGGTTGCACATATTTGAGAGCCTTTGATCATCTACTTTAGGTTTTGCAGTGTAATGCTTTGTCATTCATCAAAAAAATGAAAAAAATCACAATATTGTACATTATTTATCTTATATAAATGGTTTTATTTATTTCTGATACTGAGGATTCAACCTGGGGGCAATTTATCACTGAGGTAAATCCTAAGCTGTTTTTATTTTTATTTATTTATTTATTTTGATCCCAGGGATTGAACATAGGGTTGCTTAACCACCAAGCTACGTTTCTAGTCCTTTTTATATTTTATTTAGAGACAGGGTCTCTCCAAGTTGCTTTAGAGCCTCACTAAGTTGCTGAGGCTGGCTTTGCCTTTTATTTTTTATCTTAAGACGGGTCTCATTAAGTTACTGAGAGCCTTGCTAAGTTGCTAAGGCTGGTCTCAAACTTGCAATCCTCCTGCTTCATCCTCCTGAGTTGCTAGGAATACAGGTGTGAGCCACTGCATCTGGTCAACATGTTTTGAAGTAACATGTTGTGTGGTATGGCTAAATGTAGMTTATTAAAAGTCAAACAGGGGCTGGGGTTGTGACTCAGCGGTAGAGTGCTTGCCTAGCATGTGCGAGGCACTGGGTTCGATATTGTGTCCAATTTCAAGTACAAAAAAAAAAAAAAGAGCCAAACAAGGTGGCGCAGGCSTGTAATCTTAGCTACTGGAGAATTACAAATGGAGGCCAGCCTCARTCACTTGGTGAGATTCTCTTTGATAAGTGAATGCTGATGCACAATGGGGAGGGGAGTGGGGGGGGACATGGGAAAAATGGAGGAGCCTTTGCTCATCTTTTAACCCTGAAACTGACATCCCTTCTTGGTCCTGTCTGGGCTGCTACTACCATGCGGTTGGTGTTGGCATAAAATCTATTTTCTATCAMACTATTAACATAAAAAACTTTCTTTTGCTGGGCTAGGGTTGTGGCTCAGTGGTAGAGTGCTTGCCTATCATGCATGAGGCACTGGGTTCGATCCCTGGCACCACATAAAAATAACAAATAAAATAAAGGTATTGTGTCCATCTACAACACCTACAACTTATATACCTTTCTTTTGTAAGTCCTTTTTTCTTTTTTGGCACTGGGGATTGAACCCAGGGGCGCTTAACTACTGAGCCACATCCTCAGCCCTATTTTGTATTTTATTTAGAGATAG